GTTAATGCTCGGGTAACAAATGCAAGAGGCTGTCCATTTTAGAGTTACGCCTCACTAATTACCTTGTCACTTGCGCGATCACATTACAGTTAGCTTCTCTTCTGGGTTGTAGTACTTGAGTAATGGTGCGCTTGAGAACATGCTACGTCCTGACGGGTGAGCTGCCTTATTGGTTCGAGAACATCTGATAAGTTGGGCAAAAATAAAACGWGCGAGATTAGTTCACAAATCCGCATAGTCTTCGCACTGCCGCATTGACATCCTCTGGTGCTGGCATCATCGTTATAGCCTCGACTTTCTCTGGGTCTGCTTTAAGTCCCTGATTGATTGGTCACTAAGTGACGAAAGTATGTGATTTCTGTGCATSGGTGCTGTATGCTTTGCTTTATTCAACTCTTATGATACCCTAGTCCTCTGCATCTCTCGAGGAAAGTTTGAAGTTTACGGTCATGATCTTCTCGTGCTACATTGTTTACAGAGTAGGCGTGTTTCCTACGCCTTTGGACATACTGAATTACTGAGCAAAGGAAACACTAAGGGGCCATCTTCCGACAGACAGACCCCGGGACTGAGAAGTCTCTGCTGACCCCTTCTCGCTCAACGGAAAGGCGGAATACCTGGTTGTGTGCGACTATTTGTCTACCTTTATCGAAGTCAATAATTTTGAGGATACACGATCGTATCTAAAGTTATTAGGAAGCTAAAGGGCCACTTCGCCTGAGCGATGCGCGGCATTCTTGATTAAATGGTGACTGAAAATGGCCCTCAAGTTAGGACAACTTCAAGGCGCGGGTTTGCTGGCTGAGGAGTGGGACTTTGACATCCATGTACCAGTAGTCCTGGACACCAGCAGGCCATGGCTTTGCAGAATCAGCAGTGGAAAAAAACTCGATGGTCAAGATTCATTTTAGGTTTACTGGTTCATTGCAACACTCCGTCAGAATCTATGGGTGCAAGCCCAGCCCAACTCTTCTATTTGGTCCCAAGATTCAGCTTTCGGTTACCACAGGGTTTTTCAAGCCCTAAGGTATCAACACGGAAACCACAAAAGAAACGAGGAGAAAGATAACACAAGCAAAGCAGACACACTATTACAACCAATCAACACGCAAGATCAAGAGGCCCTAGAGCAAGGGGACGTTGTGGGCATGCCCCATTCATTCTAAACTAGAAGACGTGGGATATTAAAGGCGTTCGTCAAAAGGCAGCTTGGCAAACTCATCCTATGAAGTTAAGGCCAACAGCACATCATACAGAAGGAATCGCGTGGACCTAAAGAAGATGAAGGCAGGAAACTTAGATGAAGAGCCCGCAGTCACATCCAAGGCAAAAGACACTGCCAGTATCTGAACCTGAAGACAAAGCATTGCTGGTTTTCAATCATTCCCAAGGGAATGAAATGACAAAAGACATGGCGACCACGTTGGATGAAATTTAAGAGATTTGGTTTAATTCATTCATCATGGCGGCTGTGAAAAACATCAATTGCCAACATCAACGACTCTGCACTTCCAGCATCGCCCTTTATCTCTTGACCCAACGGAGAGTCAGAAGTGAACCTGCTCCACCTGAAAGACTTCATAAGATATTAGAACACTAATATCATACTATGGACTCTATAGTATCTGTAATCTGTTTTGTTCTGTCACTATTACCAATAGTCACTTCTCAAAGGAAGAAGGGGAATGTAGCGTGATCCGACGACCGCATGTATGATACACTATTCACAGGCATCCCAAACGAGGTTACTGTTTGTTGTATAAGGGAATGTATGCGCCTTATGAAGAAGATATAACAATAAAATGTTTCGCTGAACAATTTGCTTCAAAACTTGCTGCAGTCGTTGCTTGAACCTTGTTCAGTTTTCTGGGGAAGTTTCAGCGCGATTTGGAGCCGTTTAGTGGGATTTTTCAAAATTCGCTCATTTAGAGGACGAAGTGAGAGTTTTGAAAAACGGTGCTGAGGCTCAGTCGTCAGCATTAAAAACGCCACAGGAAGCCCATCACCCAATCCAAAAGCGGAGGGAAGACTTTGCAACGACTTTGCAACTATATAGGAACGCTATGGAGGACTGACTAAAGAAAAGGCTCCGACAAAACCATCTACCCTTCAATGGACACAAGAGAATCTGCGGAAGTTCTCGGAAGTGACGGAAATGGTCTGCTGCCTATGAATACATTGATAGAACGATCTAAAGCTGTGTGCTACATCCAAGCTATTGTCAAAGATCCCAGGACAAACAGAGATCTGCTGAGGTAACTTGGAACAAAAAAAATCCAGTTTGATTCTAATCTATTTTAGTTTTAGGTTGTTAATAGTCTGATTATTGTGACCTGAGATATTACAATTGAATTTATCTGTACGTTGATGAGCTAACGGCTGATAAAGGCCTTTGTTTAGACCCAAACCTCTGTTTAAAACAACTAACAACTAACTTTAAATCACTTTGAATCAGGAATCCTGACTACAATTTTGGAATGTTTAAGCTCAAATAAGCTTACAGCACTTACATCTCTAGCTCTAGTACTTAACAAATAAAACAGCTTTTCTGTAGGGCTGCTATGACGGCACCTTCTAACCCTTGAAGTGCTTTATTACTGAATGGAGCATGGAAAAAGGCTGCAGTTATATTCGTTTTATTATAAAATTACTAGTTTTGTTTCGGTATTGAAATCATTTGCACAAAAAGAAAGATGGTCGCAGGATCTAGCAGCATTTTGCATCATGAGGATAGTGTCAGTACTGTGCTCCGTTCATAATATAGCACTGCTTTCAACCAATCAGCACGCACGCTCTACTATACCCAATATATAATTATATAATAATTATATCTAAGGCTTGGCAGTGGATTCTACAGTACAGTGCTGATCAACCAGATTGAGTACCATGGTATATTCTCAAATAACCATATTTTATCAAGCGAGATGGAGGCTAAGTGGGCAGAGGCCATCTTTGGTTATGATAATATAAATGAGCTGGGTAAAAGTGTCTGTTTGAGACCAGATTTGATATTCAGGACAAATAAGGTTAGTTTGATTGTGTATGCCTCACAAGTCACTTGTGGGGGTTAGATACCCTCCTCATTTAGGATAAAGAACAAAATTAGAATTTATAAAAAATTAGTTAAATTTTAGGAAGCCATAATCACTTTCTAGGTAATTACCACCCCCCCCCCCTAAAGTGGTTATGGAGCACTTCAATATCAAAATCCTTCATATAGAGTTCCTGATAATATATTACTCTCTCATTCAAATTCTACTGTTTTAATCCCTCACCCCTCCCCACTGTGACTTTACTTTAGAAGGTAAAAATTGCCTTACATCAAAAAGCAATACTATACTATTTATCATGTGCTGCAACGTACAACTCCAACCTCAGCTGGGAGCTATTATTTGTGGTCACTGAACGGAACTGTAAAATGCGGTATTCTAGTATATTTTTCATTAATTATTAATTGTTGTAAAATTGAGTATTCTTATATATATAGAGTAGTGTTATAAATTATGCGTTCAATTAAATTATTCCTGCCAAGGGCATTTGATATTTTTCTCTTATTCTCTATTCTAATATATATATATATATTTATTAATTGCAAAGGATCTGGATTACTCCTTTATTGGGGTTCAAAGAGAAAACATCGAAGCTCTCCACCTTGGGATAATACCCATCCAATTCGAGCCAGAACCTAAAATTAGTGGAGGAGATGAAGTCTTCATACTACAGCATCCTAGAGGAAGGCCTAAAGAGTTCAGTCATGACAAGATTATGACAGTCATGCCTCCATTTGTGTATTACAAAGCTGATACAGAGACTGGTTCCTCAGGAGCTCCCGTTTTCTGGAAGTTGAATTTGGTGGCAATACACCAAAAAGGGAGTGAATACGTACTGAACTACAACAAAGGAGTTTTGTGCAGTGAAGTGCTGTCTCATCTGAAGACAGGAAAATGTAAGGAAGTTTGAACTCTGGTTTTCTTCAAATGATATTTTGACATAAGTCTTTTGTTTGGAGATTGTGAATTTAATAATTTCTAAATTCTTCAAATAAAAAACCTTATGTTGATCTAGGCTACGCAAACAAATAGCAATCCATAGGGATGTAGCAGCTGAGGTAGAAGGGGGCTACTATTGACCAACATTTTTTTAAATTTCCTTTTTTACATTAAAGCTTGCTAGGCTAGCATATGTTGAACCAACCAAATAATGTTTGCATGCCATTGCAAATGATAAAGTAATCTATGCCTTTAATGATCACACTGTGATTAATTGAATTATTGTCTAGTATACAACCTAATATTTACATTGTCCCTGTTCTACAGTCCTGTTGGTTAGAGTGGCAGTGCGTGTGCCCATATCATTAGTTAATTTTTGTTTTGTTTGATAAAAAATATCTTAAATGCTTTATTGTTGTTACAAATTGTATAACCAATATGTAATATATTTCTTTTTTATTTAGATACAAGGCCTACTGCATTTTCCATACAAGATAGTCAGGGGGAAGAAGTTGATGAAGGTATGAAAATATTTTGGTTATATGGCCAATAGCACTTTAGGTATATGTACCTGAAGTAAAGTGCAGTATACATTACATTAGAAATGTTCAAAGTTATTTCAAAAGTTTAGTTCAAATAAGAGATTGTCAGCTTATATAAATATTTTGAAAATTATAAAAGCCATAATTAAATAAAATTTACACTAAATAAATAATATGTATAGACAATAGAAACAGAAGTTCATTAAGTATATTCTTTTTTCCTCAAAACATTTAGTTTACAAAAATTGGTAATTGCAGTCATGGAAAACGTCAGTTTTACTTGACAGTCTGTAGCCAATTTTTCTTTCCATCCATTAACAGCAGTTGTCTGGCTTTGGATGGGTTGAATTTCTGGGCATGGTAATGTAAGAATCTGAGGGAATATAAGATTTAAAATAAGAGCCTTGCGCATACATGGAGTGAGAGATTAATTCATCTATGCATTCTTTCACAGATGGTACATTTAATACCTACACATTGTTTCTACAGATTGCATACCAAGAAAGAGACAGAAAATGGAAGAGAATGTCTCTCATTCACCATCAGAAGAGGAGATGGAGGAACTTGCCCAAGAAATCATTCCAATTTGGAAACATCTTGGTAGAATCCTTGGAGTGGGCAACAGTAGAATAGAAGAAATATCAAGAGACAACATAAACTATTCAGGGAYAAGAGAAAAGGCCTTYCAGATGCTTTTGTCTTGGAAAGAATCAAGTCCTAACCCATCATATGGTGCTCTGGGAAAATCTTTAATAAAATTAGGAAAACACAACCTTGCACACCATTATTGTCATATGTAATATGATGTAACAGCTTCATCTAGTTGGTTGAAACCTATGGTTTTTAAACAACATATATTTATTGAAAAAAAGAGGATAGGAGATGACAAAGAATGAAAGATTAACCTATTCTCACTTTTGGGCTGTATGAAAGACAATCAGAAACCACAACCAACCAAATGTTATTGATTTTTAATGTACTTTTACTAAAGCTACTATAAGTAGCAAGGGTATTGTCTTAAACTAAAATATTATACTAACATAGTTTTTCTGGCATTTGTCATTTTGAATTTTTTTCTAATTTGATTGTAAATTGATTGTTAATATTTATTTTTTTGGTCATAGTATATCTGTCTTTGGAAATGTCTTTTTGCAACAAATGTACTCTCTGGACCTGGTATTTTTATATGTTTTGTAAATTCTTAAAATCGTATTTTTCTATACTTATTTTTCTATATCACACTATACCCCCATGAGGTGAATGTTTTTACCAGATTAAAATATTGTAGAAAATGTGTTTGTGAGGTTACGCTCATAGCAAACATTCGTAACGATGTATATTTATATATGTATTTTAAAGTTTTAAAACTCTAAGAGTTTTAATTAAAGTATATTACGACTGTAAAAATAGAAAGTAAAAAATGTATTGAAATAAAAAATACTTTATATCAAAGCAAAAGTGTCTCGCTTTGTAATGTAAAAACATCACTGAACTAAAGATTATGTTATACTCTATATGTCTAAATTTGTAAATCTAACACATTTACGCTATCGAATTTTAATCTGATTATTGTCTATAAGATTGAAGTTTCATAAATTATTGTATTAGAAATGCTTTTTCATAAAACATATAAAATGTCGTTAGGAACTTCAACATTTCCTGGTTTGTCCGACCTTGTATTTTATTATTTACAGTTTGATCTTGATCATCATTGAGTTCTACTAAACTCAGCATCAAGTATCCTTCCCCACGACTCGACATCAAGCTTGCAAAGAAAATCTTTCGGAATCTCTTGAGAACTCTTTAAACAACTGTATCTTCCCTGAAGCCACCTTCTTTTGACTCCATTTCTTCCGTAGTTCAATATAGCGATGTTTTTCCATGGTATTCCATTTTCTTTGTCCTGATTAACACATATTTGATCGAGAGTCGAGCACTTTTTCTTCCAAACAAAGTCAAGGTTCATAACAATATTCCTCCAATTCTTAGACACTAATGATGCTTGAAGGAGACTACCTACATCCAAATACGCGAAAATAATCGACGACACCTCAGTTGGCAAAGAATTAACGAAATCCATGATGTTTAGCGTCCATGTACAAACGTTCTTTTGTTTTCCTTTGTCGAAGAAGTACAAAACCAAGCCGATGCATTAAAACTCTAAGCTTTTGCTAAAAGAATCTTTCACATCTACCGATTTTCTAGGAGACCCAACTTCCTTGCTTTGTTTTTCATATTTTTGTGCATGTGATAGGGATTTTTTACTGGGAATTTTAAAGTGCCTTTGTTGCGGTTTTACTTTCGATTTCGTTTTGTTGTTTACATCGCGTCTTCACAGCTGATATGTCACTTCCTGCCGCGAAGTCTCGACCTCGTGCATCACCATAGCAACCATCACGCCCGCGTATTGATCATCCAGCGGTTTTTACACATCTGAAGAGGTATAAAAGTGGTCCATATCATGTTCTTTATCATGATATGTGCGGAAAAAGGAACCAATTATCGGTTCCCTATATCATGAGCCTTCATTATTTACTGTCAGCTGTTATACGTCGAAGCTTGTCCTGGATACCTGGATACTTGGTTCTTGTATAAGAACTTTATAGAAATTGGAACTTAGATAGAAGCAGTTTACCCCTTTCTAGAAGTAGTTTACTTTCAAGGCCTCGTAAAAGACACACGAAACAAACTTTTTGGCTTTCGGCCGGAAAAGAAAGCTAATAATAGTAACTAAAGGCAATGACACCGAAGGAGACAATGAACCTGTGGAGCTGTTCAAGCTCTTCAAGGAGATCTATCCAGTCACCAAGTAGATTTTTGTTTTATGTCCGAGACGTGGCTACATTTCCGTTTTGACAAGAACCTGGTCTCTCAACGTGGTTTTAATCTTATAACTAAAGACAGAAAAGAAAGGATTGGAGGTGGTTCTCAACTCGTCAAGAAACCAACTAGTGGCAGCAGAATTCTGGATGTTTTCCTAACTAATGCACCACTAGACTTTGGATCT